TCTTCAGAAATTTAACTTTGTCATACAAAGTTGGTCTAAACCTCACAAACGTGTTTTTCTCGCTAACTACAAAGTTGGCCAAACACCACAATCGTGTTTTTCTCGCTAAGTAAACGTGCTACGTATCTTCCCAGCTCCAAATCGTCGTTTTTGTTGGAATTTAGGAAATTTTGTGCAAATTTATTTTTCAGCTGGTTTCTTCAGAAATTTAACTTTGTCATACAAAGTTGGTCTAAACATCACACACGTGTTTTTCTCGCTAACTACAAAGTTGGCCAAACACCACAATCGTGTTTTTCTCGCTAAGTAAACGTGCTAAGTATCTTCCCAGCACCAAATCGTCGTTTTTGTTGGATTTTAGGAAGTTTTCTGCAAATTTGTTTTTCAGCTGGTTTTCCTTCGGAAATTTAACTTTGTCATTCAAACTTGGTCTAAACATCAGAAACGTATTTTTCTCGCTAACTACAAAATTGGTCAAGCGTCACAATCGTGTTTTCCTTGCTAATTAAACGTGCTAAGTATCGTCTCAGCTCCGAATAGTCGTTTTTGTTGGACTTAGGAAGTTTTCTGCAAATTTGTTTCTCAGCTGGTTTTCCTTCGGAAATTTAACTTCGTCATTCAAACTTGGTCTAAACATCACAAACGTGTTTTTCTCGCTAACTACGAAGTTGGCCAACACCACAATCGTGTTTTTCTCGCTAAGTAAACGTGCTAAGTATCTTCCCAGCTCCAAATCGTCGTTTTTGTTGCAATTTAGGAAATTTTGTGCAAATTTATTTTTCAGCTGGTTTCTCTTCAGAAATTTAACTTTGTCATACAAAGTTGGTCTAAACATCACAAACGTATTTTTCTCGCTAACTAAACGCGCTAAGTATTTTTTCAGCTCAAAATCGTCGTTTTTGTTGGAATTTAGGAAGTGTTGTGTAAATTTATTTTTCAGATGGTTTCTCTTCGGAAATTTAACTTTGTCATACAAAGTTGGTCTTCACATCACAAACGTGTTTTTCTCGCTAACTGAACGCGCTAAGTAGCCTTTCAGCTCAAAATCGTCGTTTTTGTGAAATTTAGGAAGTTTTCTGCAAATTTGGTTTACAGCTGGTTTCCCTTCGGAAATTTAACTTGGTCATACAAAGTTGGTCTAAACATCACAAACGTGTTTTTTTCGCTAACTGAACGTGCTAAGTATCTCTTCAGCTCAAAACCGTCGTTTTTGTTGAAATTTTTGGGCAAATTTAGTTTTCAGGTGGAATTGAAAATTCGAATTAGTCATTACTACATTAGTGAGGAAATTCGAGTGGTTTGGTCACAGAAAGCGAAAATTGAATATCAGACACTTAGGTGCAAAGATTATGAAAAACTTTCATGTTTTCCGTCTCGTTTTTGCACATTTCTCGAAAACAAAATGAGCCAGAGGCCTCATATTTACATCATTACAGAGAGATCTAAATGGCCTTTTTAGAAAGTGAACTATCAATAAGGATTTGGTTGCAGTTTTCTCTAAAAAGTGTTGGTTTCCAGAAGTTTTATATTAGCGTGTTTTTTTTTTAGATGCATAATTGACTCAAACACGACGTTTGCTTTTTTGGCAGTATCTCAGACCCCATTTGTGCCACGGAATTCGTTTGGTCATCGTTGGATAGAGAATTGGAAATGCGATTTAGTCATGACCACATGAGTGACGAAATTCTAGTGGTTTTGACCCAGAAAGCGAAATTTGAATATCAGACACTTAGGTGCAAAGATTATGAAAAATTTTCATATTTTCCTTCCCGTTTTTACTCATTTCTCGAAAGAAAAATGAGCCCGACGGCTCATCTTTACATCCTTACAAAGAGAACTAAATGACCTTTTTAGAAAGTGAACCATTAATAAGAAAATTTGGCAGTTTTCTCAAAAAAGTCTTGGTTTCAAGATGTTTTAGATTTGCGTGTTTTTGTTTAGTTGCAAAATTGTCTCAAACACGACGTTGCTTTTTCGTCAGTTTCTCAGGCCCCATTTGTGCCACAGAATTTGTTTTGGCATCGTTGGATAGCGAATTGAAAATTCGAATTAGTCATTCGAAAGCGGAAATTGAATATCAGACACTTAGGTACAAAGATTATGAAAAACTTTAATGTTTTCCGTCCCGTTTTTGCACATTTCTCGAAAGCAAAATGAGCCAGAGGGCTCATCTTTACCTCATTACAGAGAGCACTAAATGGCCTTTTTAGAAAGTGAACCATCAATAAGGAAATGTTGGCAGTTTTCTCAAAAACGTCTTGGTTTCAGGAAGTTTTAGATTTGCTTGTTTTTTTTTTGAGCTGCACAATTGACTCAAACACGACGTTGTTTTTTTGGCAGTTTCTCAAACCCCATTTGTGCCACGGAATTCGATTTGGAATACTTGGATAGAGAATTGAAAACTCGATTTAGTCATCACCACAGGAGTGAGGAAATGCGAGTGGTTTTGACCCAGAAAGCGAAATTTCAATGTTATACACTTAGGTGCGAAGATTATGAAAAATTTTCCTGTTTTTCGTCCCGTTTTTACTCATTTCTCGGAATCAAAATGAGCCAGAGGGCTCAGCTTTACATCATTACTGAGAGCACTAAATGGCCTTTTTAGAAAATGAACCATCAATAAGGAAATGTTGGCAGTTTTCTGAAAAAAGTCTTGGTTTCAGGAAGTTTTAGATTTCCGTGTTTTTTTTTAGTTCCAAGATTGACTCAAACACGACGTTGTTTTTTTTTGGCAGTTTCTCAGGATCCATTTGTGCCACGGAATTCGTTTTGGAATCCTTGGATAGATAATTCAAAATTCTATTTAGTCATAACCACATAAGTGCGGAAATTCGAGTGGTTTTGACCCAGAAAGCGAAATTTTAATATCACACACCTAGGTACAAAGAGTATGAAAAACTTTCATGTTTTCCGTCCCGTTTTTGTACATTTCTCTAAAGCAAAATGAGCCAGAGGGCTCATCTTTACATCATTACAGAGAGCACTAAATGGCCTTTTATAAAGTGAACCATTAATAAGAAAATGTTGGCAGTTTTCTCAAAAAAGTTTTGGCTTCAGGAAGTTTTAGATTTGCGTGTTTTTTTTTAGTTGCAAAATTGATTCAAGCACGACGTTGCTTTTTTGGCAGTCTCTCAGGCCCCATTTATGCTACAGAATTCGTTTTGGCATTTTTGTTCCCATATATGGACATTTGTCTTAGGACTCTAAGATCTCTCTTCCTTGTGAAAGCGATTATAGATGTCTTGGATGGGCTAATTTTCAGCCATTCCATGTTACACCATTGTTCGGTGATGTTTAGCGCCTGCTGCATCAATGATGATACAGTGTCTCCAAACTTTCCCTGTAATCAGGCTCCACAGCAAAGGCGACAAAACTCTTCCCTACGGACACCCGCCGGCTACCCGTGCTTCCATGCTGACTTTATTGAGTGCGACAATAACCGTTCTGCAACTCAGCACGTTTTGGATCCATTCACATATTATAGGCTCCACTCCACGATTTGACTGAAATGAGATATTGTCAAAGGCTCCCTCTATGTCCAGAAAAGCCGCCAGAGCAATTTCTTTACGCTCTAATGAGGTTTGTGCCCTCTGCACCAACTTGTGGATAGCAGATTCGCAGGATTTTTCCATTTGGTAGGCATATTGGTTGTGGTGTAGAGGACTTCTAGTAAGAACCTCTTGCCTGATGTGTCTGTCAATCCGCTTGTCTAGTGTTTTGAGTAAGAAGGATGTTAGGCTGATCGAGCGAAAGGATTTGGCCTGGGCATACGTCGCCCGCCCTGGTTTTGGAATGAATACTACTTTCGCCATTCTCCATTCTATTGGTATATATGCCAGGGCCAAGCTGGCCCGGAGTTCCAAAGTTCCGGAGTTCCGAAGAAATTCCCGTTAAGAGTTCTGAGATCAGGATATTCTGTATCTACTTGGATTACATCGTTCTGTATTTCATTGAATAAATAATTGAATTGACCCGATGCCAAAATATTACAATTGCACTTGCACTATGCAGTTCAGATTCTTGTAGATGGGGTTGAGTTTGACGACCGTACCTCGTTCGCGCCGCAATGGAACGCTCGGTGCCATCATTCGCTGATGTTGAATTCGATGTTGCTCTTTGCCTATATTCCTTGTTAAAATTTTTCCTAGCAAAGTATCTTGGTATTTCAAGATTTACTATATTGTCTGTTGAATTCAGAAGAAGTCTTATTTTACTCTTCAAAATATCACATTTATCACTATCTGCTGTCACATGATTTGTACTTTGTAATTTTCGCCAAATTTTTGTTGGATACTGTTTTTCTATTACAGTCTTCAATTTTGAAATATGCAGCAAATGCCTAGATTAGATCTAATCAACAAAGAGTCATCATCATCAAAATCATCGGTCATCAGGCACAACGTGATTTTTCTTGAAGTGGGTTCACCAGTGATCGAAACTTTACTAGGCCTTGAGATCAATAAAGTGTGGTGGAACCTGCCCTTAACATTTTACCATAGCGAAAATGTTAATAAGAAACTGTAATAAGTAGTGACCCTATTGTAGTTTCCTTTGGATTGTAGTATTTACTAACAATTCTCCATTTTGCTGTTTAATCGTTAATATCTCGGAAGCGGTGAACGGCTGAAATATCGACTAAGAATAAGTAAGTTGCACGATATATAAACTATCGCTCGTAAAGTCAATACTTGCGTTTTCTCAGTGTAAAAATGTAGGTCGGTTGTCGGACTAAAAATCGCGTTTTATTTACGGCTCTTGCAAAACAAAATGTCGAATGTACGAATATTGGAGTAGTAATTACGTAATTACACGTCAGTGTACTGACGAAGTCAACACATTAAACGGGATCATGCCCCTTCGTTTAAACCAAGAAATGCGTAAAATTAAAGGTTACTAAGCAACTTGCCACACTTATTTAGTCAATAATCCCAAAGCTTTCCTATTATAGTCCTAGAACGAAACATTGTTTGAAATTTGAATCAGATCAGGTAAATATATTACTTTTACTTTCGTGTAGACAAAACCATTTTAATCTAAAACCGACCCACTGAGCCTACATTTAATTAAAACGACAATCGATACCATATTTGGATATTCAGATAGTAAAACAAGTTGCATGACTGACTTCAAAAAACCACTCTGCACTGCAAAAGTCGTTAATAATGGGGAAAATCAAATAGCGTGCAAGATTCGTTTTAAGACAAAACGATTTCACGGAAGATTCACTTGCAATTTATTCGCAATTTCAGGATGGCTGCTCTATTGCTGCCCAATACGACTGCGCGCCTGAGCGTACGCCAGGGCGCCCTAGCGCTGAGGGGCATTGGACGATTTATTCATCGTGTCCGCACATCTCATCAATCAACACAAACTACGCTCGCACTGACCAACACTAGAAGAATGGGTGAGAAAGATATCTACAAATGCACTCCTAAGATAATGGATAGGCTGAGGAGTAACACGTTGTTTAGTCGGTAATAACAAACAACTGATTTGTTTCACAAAGAACACTGAAAATTTGTAGTACTGAAATTGAAGCCCTTTACAAAATCTTCAAGAAGCTGGTCACATTCAATAAATCTTCGTGCAGGACTATCAATGACAAAGTTTCCACGTCAATGAGCACCAACCCATCGGCTGCTTCGGAGGTAATGGGCAGATAAAGTACAAACCATCAATTAGTGGCAATTATTCATTTCCAGGGAATCAACAGAACGGTTTTCCGCGAAGTGCTGCACAACACCTTCGACATCGTGACTGAAAACATGCTGATGGACCGGATTTTCTGCGTCTGGGATCGGCTGAATAGCGGCTTGATCACTCTAGACCACTGGATCCTAGGGATGTCCTTGTTCCTGAAAGGCAATCTTCCGAAACAGATCGACTACTGCTTCGCCGTCTACGATCTGAACGGCGATGGATTTATCACTAAAGATGAAATGTTTCAGCTCCTAAGGTTGGTTGAATAATAATAATATATTATATCATAGAGTGAGTGCCAAATAATTTGCATATATCTATTTAAAAACGCTTGCTTATTTTCTTAAAATCGATCAAATCCATCAGTAGTTTTTTTTAATTGCCCATTTTGTAAACGGGTTTTTATTTATACAAGGTGGCCTCAAAAAAGTTATGATATACATGCAATTTTTTTACACAGAAGCTGCTTTTTTTGTAATTTTATTCAGTTCTCTACAAAATTCTAGCCATATTTAGAGCTACCAGCGCGAAAACGGCTTAAGCCAGCGTTATGGTGGGTTAATACACGAGAATAAGGATAAGGCTTGAAGCATAAGAATAACGCTTAAGGAATAACGCCTAATGCTGTGTTTATAAAACAGAATAAGAAACAATATTATTTTATGTACAGCCAATCAAATGGAAGCCTAGGCTTAAGAAACAATAGCATTGTGTCTGTTTTTGTCAACATTATCGCGATAACATATCAATGAAAGCTTAATTTCACATAAATATTGTACATTAAAATGGATTTGTCCACTGAAGAAGTGGTAGTTCTTTTTAGATTAATAATTTCGTTTTCTAACCTCACAACAAAATGTAAATACGATGTTTGGCGGTCACGTGGGATATCGAAATATAATTTATGTTACAAACTGCTCATTAGAATAACGTCTAACACATAAGATAAAAGTTAAAAGTTGACAAATTTTTTAAGCCTTATTCCTTAAGCGTTAGGCACTATTCGGTTTATAAACACCTCTATGGACTGATGCACAACGAACTTTTAAGGTACGCCTTAATCGCTATGCGTTATTCCTTATTCTCGTGTATAAACCCTCAATAAGTCATTTGCCGAGTCAACTTATCCACAAAGTGAATGTGCATATAATCCAAATAAAGCTTAACCCCCTGTTCGCACCGTTTACGAGATAAGGTTAGTTGATGGTCATGTTTAATTTTGCCTTAAACGATTTTGTCACGAAATGAAGTGCCGAAACGTTCTATTTCGCAGCCTGTGAGACAGTAAGTGTTTCACAGTGCGGTGAGAATATTGGTCTGATAGAAAAGTAAAAAAGTCTTTAAATATATTCAAGTTTCCAATCTTTGGGACAAAGATTTAAGAAATTTATAATTAGTTTCATTGACAACCGTTGCCCTAAAACAGCGGTTTGAAGTGGCCTAATACTTTTTAATCATAATATTAAGATGCAAATCGGCCTAGCACACAACACTTCAAACAATGTAAACATTACCACAATTTTTTTGTTGTTGCTATATTTGTTATACAGTGTGATCCAAAATTGGCGTCATTCCTTCTAAGTGGTAATAGCGGCTCACATAGAAGATACGACAAAAATAAAAAATCACATTTTTTCGATAATTTCAGATTCAAGATATTAACAGTTGAAAATGGAATTTAAATTTTATGATTAAGTGTTATTTTGAGTGTTCTATGTTTAATTAGAAGCGTATTGGAATACATAAAAATTTTAAAAAAATCACGATCTTTGCTTTAAATTACGAAAATTGTTTATATTAAAAAAGTTCTCTTCCACAATTTTTTAACAAAAAGTCAAAGGGGTAATGATGTTTTTGTCATCAACAGATCAATGTCATCAATGATAACAATAATTTGTCAAACTGTGACTTACTTTGAATTTTCTTTCACGAATTTCCGGAGATGCGATTAGTTTAGGAGAAACGCTAAAGTAAAAAAGTAGAAGCTGAAAGAACGCCAACGAAGAGCGAGGAGAGTGGTTCCAGGAAGATAGTGGACAATAAATATTCGGGTTCCAGACACAGAAGAACAAGTACTGGACATAATTGCAGAAGAGCCTTTGAGGAGCACTCAGAACATTGCACAACAACTGGCACTTTCCCAGGCGCCAAATAAATACCGGCTACATTCCTACCACGTATGTAAGATACACATTAAACCAATGGATAACTGAACACCGTTATAAATTGAGCAGGAGTTAACTAACCGAATACGAGGAGCTGCTCGAGAAGAGTGCATAATAAGGTGATTACACAGGCACTTGTTTGAAGTGACAAGGTGAAATGTAGGTTTTTGTAATTTGTAAGTAAATTAATAATTCGAGGTTATAATTATTTTTGTTGAATTTACGGTTTAGCATTGTCTGTCTTGTTGTCACTTTCTGTATAATTCCATGGTTACCGGAGTTTTAAATAATTACTAATCAACAGGTACTTACGTAATCTTAATTCGGTAGATTACTTTGAAAAACATTGTTGCCGTTTTTTAATATAGTTTTTCGCAGATTTCATAGTTTTTAAATACAATTATGTAAGTACTCCTAAAACACCGCCAGACAACACCTCCAGAGGAGTGTCGCCAATTTTGAATCACCCTGTATAAGTTCATTTTTTAAGTAGTTTGGGTTTGCTTGTGTAAATAAAAGTTAAACGGCTGTGATTTTATCACCAATTTTCTTCTTGACAAATTCCCTAAATCCATTTGTGAGATTAGGCCTTTTACGCGCTGATAGCATTAGGCGGCGGTCCCACAGAACCACCGGTGGCTATCAAGCAGATGTCCAACATATGCAATTCCCATTGAACGGTCTCACAGAACGCTTCACTAGCCAGCCACTGTCATCCACTGCTAACCACCGGTTCTAAATTTCCGACGTGTTCGAAATTTTGGTAGATTGGTGGTAGGCTGTGAATGCGCACATGCGCGTTAGGCGATATTTTGCGCGGGTTTTGGCCAGGAAATATGTCAATTTTATTCTACTGGTCGAGAAATTAGGTTATACTTTTCAACGGCATTTGTGGCAAATCGAAAAAATGAGTGGAAATTGGAATACTGCGGATATAGACCTTCTGATCACGCTGGTGCGGGAAAATGCGGAGATTTATGATCAGCGTCGTCCGGAATTCCGCATATATACTCACGCTCTGGAAACCACGTGGAAGAAAATGAAGCAGCAATTTCCTTTCATAACTGGTAAGGTCTTACATTTTTATATACATTTAATGACAGTGCGAAAGTTATGATGTTTTGGAGGACACTCAAAATCCTGCATACGAAATGGGTGAGTTAGCTAAAACACTGAAACTATACATATGTAAATAAAGAAGGATTAAAGAAATGTAACAAGCACATCTGGACGATATTTTAACAAATGTGTAATTCTTATTTCAGATGATCAGGGTCCAACGGCTTTAATTTTCTCGTCGGGACAAGAGCTACGTATGCAGGATCCGCCTCCAGAGCATTATTCATACCAAGAAACGCCACAGCCTTCGGACACGTTCCAAAAAAGAAAAAAAGTTAAAGGTCTTGAAATGATTGAGACTTTTATGTCCTATTTGCAGGCCAAAAAGGCCAGACTTACGAAGAACGATGCAGAGAGTACAAAGTCCTCTAACGAACTTTGTCTCCTAAGTTTATTGGAGGATATGAATAATTTTGCTAAAGCTAAAGTGCGTCAATTTGAAAGGTCAGTGTTGGATACGCTGAACACCCTCTTAGATGACGATGAATAAAAATGTTTTGCCAGTCAATCGGTGTGTTAATTTAGTATTTTATTTCCGTCTTTATTACATATATATTCCGGCGTCCTGCCAATCTACAGCGCCTACCCCATTAAAATAATGGCAAAAGCGATCGCGTATTTCTCGTGCTTCCCTGGAAGATTGGTTGGTATTTAATCGCTTTGCTTGCATCGGAAGAAAAGCATCAGGCCTTACATTTTCAGCCAATTGAGTTTGAAGAATTCTATTTTCTTCAATTCTTATAAAGTTGTGTAGAACACAAGCCGCTTTAATTGTTCTGTCTACTTTTGTCGGCTCAATTTTGCAATTGAACTGGCTTCAAAAATTCGGAATTTTGAAATCAGTATGCCAAAAGCGCATTCAACTAATTGTCTGGCATGTGACTAATCGATAATTTAATCTTTTTTTGCGAAGATTTAAATTCCTTCTTGGATATGACTTTATTAGATGTTTCGATAAACGGAATGCTTCGTCGCCAACAAAAACAAAAGGCATAGCATGGTTTTCGCATTCATTCAATTCTTTATCCTCCGGTAAATCCATTGTATTTCCATACAGTAACTTGCCAAAATTGGAATGTTCCAGTATGCCACCATCACTATTCTTGCCAAAACTGCCGACATCGGTCATCGTGAACTTATAGTTCACATCCACAACAGCCATCAATACAATGGAATAGAACATTTTGTAGTTGTAAAATAAGGACCCACAATTTTGGGCTTGCGTATCCTTATGTGTTTCCCATCTATAGCTCCTACACAATTGGAAAAGTTGTTTTGAATTTTAAATTCTTCCGCAATCCTTTCAAATTGCTGTTTGTTCGGAAACTTTAGATATTCGTTTTCTAAGCCATTGTAAATTAATAACAGCATTTCGTTTGCTATGACGCTAATTCTATTATGACTTATGCGGAAACAAAATGACGCTGAATGAAATTATTCCCCAGTAGCAATATATCTGAAAAAACAAAACCTTGAGCTTCCATGTGTTGAGATTTTTTATTATAGTACCTACCTCAATGTAACTGTTAATCTTTCGATCGATTTTTCAAATAATATAGCATTTCTCCTACATCCGAGTCCGAAAAAGATGACATGGCCGTTTTATATATATATATATGACAGTTATATATATAGTTAAGTTATATATATAGTATAAGTAGGTTAGAAAGCAATACAGTTGATGCCGCTGGTGGATGATTGCTGTGAGACCATGATTTCCCGATTCACTGATTTAGGTCGGTGGTAGTGGGTGATAGTTGATGACAGTGGTTGCTGTGGGACCGCTGCATTATTTAACGTAGCATACTCTATTCTCATCTAGACCGGTTTTTGAGAAATTGGCGTCCGCAAATCGTATAATAAAAAGCTTCTTCTTTAAGGTCTTTCGGTACGATCTCGCATGTTGTTGCCCCTCTGCATCAACCAAAAGTAGGTAACGCCAAAGCCAGTTAAATCCCAGTGATCTATCTACTTCTCATTTTCAAGTTGTTAATTATACCTCTTGATACTAAGAACTGTGAAAGTATAACGGATACAACAGAAACATGCCTTAAATATTTTAATTTTACATAGTTATCGTATATATCGATGCAATGTGAAGACCTGAACATGACCATAGGAAACTCTCATTACCCCTAAAAGTATCTCCAAGCAAGCCTTTATTACCTCTTAAACGGAATAACGCCAATTTTGAATCTATCTGTATTTACATAATAATAGACAGATGAAAGAATTTTATTATGGTAAGTAGCGGAAACCATCTTGAAAAGGATAAATAAGAACATGTAAACTTGCTAACACATATTAACGCTGACACACAAACTGAATCTAGGAAATCAGTAAACGTAGCAATTGGGAATGTTTACACTAAAAGCAGAGTACCCGTTACGAAGGTTACTCGGAGTGGGCGAACAGTAATTTTGCCTCGTCGTTTTATGGAAAAGTAGTATGGAAAAGTAGATTAGTTGTAGAGTAGAGTTAGATTTTTTCGTTATACTTACTTGTTGTTTTTCTGTTTCATATTCTTGGATAGCTGGTGAGAAACTCATTTTGTATTATTTAGTTTCTCGGGTGGGAGAATAGTACATGGTAACAATAGATAACAATGCATGGCATGTATGTACCAGCAGGGTGTCAAGTGGATGTCAGTCGGAATGATACAAAATTAATTGAAAACTGAGTGGTAATTTTCAAGTAGATCAAACAAAGTTTTTCATTCATCCTTATCGTGAACGAACCAAACAAACGGGTAGTTCCACAAGTAGCGTGATTCAAACTTGAGAACCAAGAGGCAGCTGATGGTCCTACGAGCGGATTCCAAGCAGGCGAGCAAGATCTACAACAGGTTTCAGGAAGATGACGGACTCGGTGGTTGGCCTATTGGCGACGGTTGAGCTAGGACGGGCGATCGACTTTGGTTTGAACTTGACTCCCCTTCGCTGGGTCACCTTTCTGGATTAAGTTTTCGTCCGTTCCCTTTAAAAACTGTGGTCAGCAAAGGTGGGGCAACCACCACGTTGCCAGACAAAAACTGCTGATATCTGGCAACGAGGTACTTTATTAATTTAAAGGTATTTAAACATTAAAATACAAATGATACTTGAAATATTGCTAAGCAAACCTGACAAACGTGATTACTAAATCCAATTAAGCAATGAAGATCGGTTGACAATTACAATTATAACTTACAACTACCTACGTTTGAGAACAACGGGTTAGCAGACAGGTGGACCACTAGCTAAATTCCATTTTTAACCGTTACAATATCGAACAACCGCTTTCCGTTTTGTGTATCCGTACCTGCACTCCTTTTTTAATCATTGCGTATTCACGGTTTCTATGTAATTCTTAATTTAATAATATTAAATAAACGGCTCTTAATATAAAAGCATACCTATTGTTTTGCTGATACTATTCTTATAAAATTACAATGACCTACAATTTGTATTACAGAAATTATGCAGGACAATGCCGTTTAAAATTACACTTTAGCACCTAATCAAGTGCAGAGTATAAATTTTCTTATATACCAGAAATATCAACTTGATGTTCGATAGCTGTTATTGTAATTGAACTAAATAACACATAGGGAAATACTAAACACCTCATATTTAAAAAGGTTTATTGTGCACATCACCAAATAGGACATGCATGCTGTACTTGTTCTAACAAAAGTGATGAAAAGGCCAAACAAACTAAAGCATTGAAAATTTCGATTAGGAAAGAAAATGAAGTTCTGTTGGATTCATAAGACATGCCGGGTGTCATTTTGAAAATTTCTCACACTTAATTTCGTTGAAAAATTCCCACCCCGTTTCTTATTGTTGAAAATATGAAAAATTGGAAACACTGGTCAATTTCATTTGTAAGGAGGGCCCCTTAAATGAACATTTTTAGTATTCTTGTTTCAACTCGATAGAAGGGATGTCACCCTTGGAATTTTAAAGAGGAAGGGGTCATGTGGCACATTGTTTGAAAGGGCGTTCAATTATCTTTACACGGGTTACTACTTTGATGCTTTTGGTTCTGAGGCTTTCGAATAATCGCGTTCCAAAGTTGTAGAAACAATTAAACTTGCGTGAATTCAGATTTTAGTTTTAAGGTTAGTGTTTACAGAAAAACAATTGTATTGGGTATCCTTGTAATACATATGATTAGACAAGTAGGTTACACTGTTAAAATCGTTGAAAAGTTATTTTTGATTTTGATCTTATTTCTTGATTATTTTACATCCACAAAAATAACTTTTCATATGCGGAAGAGAAATTTATGCAATAAAACCTATGCCATCTACTTGCGCACTATCTGACTAAATTGTTAACAATGTGGGCTAGTTTTTTGTAAACAATGATAAAGTCTGTTTCCAAATTCTTTCCTAACTTTTCTGAACACTTTACCGGGAACTGACCGTCATTCTGCAGCAAATCGCCTTTTAAGACCATCAATATCAGCGGGCTATTTTATATAAACCAGGGATTTAAGGTGTCCCCAAAGAAAGAAGTTAAGGGTGTTCAATTGGATGATCTTGGAGGGCATTCAATTGGTCCCCTTCTACCAAACGATCTATCCGGGAATATCTTATCAATGTTAGGGAGGGTTCGAAAATAGACTTTACTATAAGTTACATTGTTAACAGGTAAGTAGACAACACTTTGAACAATTTAAAATATAGTACGTAAGTAGATTCCATGAGTTTTGTTGTAGAAATTTCTCTTCCGTGATTAAAAAGTGATTTTTCTCGAAGTAAAATAATCAATCTTCAGTCAGACTTTCTTCCATTTTTTCAACGATTGTAAAGTGTAACGTAATATTCTAATAATCTGTATTACAAGGAGACCCAATAAAATTGTTTTTGTGTAAACGCTAACCAACAAAATCAATATCTGAATGCACGCAAGTTTAATTGTTTCTACAACTGTAAAACGCGATTATTCTAAAACCTCTGCACAAAAAGCAACAAAATAGTGACCAATGTAAGGAGAATGGAACGCCCTTTAAAACTATCTACCACTTGATCCCCCTTCCCTTTTACGATTATAAGGGTTACATCTACCCGTCCTAGGCCCGTATTTACAAACGTTGCTCAAGCATGAGTCGAGCCTCAAGTACGATACTTGGCTTCGATTGCGATTTATAAACGATTCTCATTCTCAAGCCAGTGCTTACAGCCTTGCTTGCTCATTATGTAGACGGTGGCTTGAGTATTGCTTCTGCCCAGCCATTGGTCGAGATTTTTCGTTGAACCGTCAAACGGTTTTTAAGGTT